TAAATAAAAAATAAAAAAATTGGGGCCATGCTTCTTCCTCAGAGGCGCAAAACAAGCAGGAAGCAGCCAGAGAGAGAAAAAAAAAAAGGATACTCGCTATTTGTTTTTTGTTTTTCAAACTTTTTCCTTTTTTGAATCATCCACATCTAAGAGCCTTTCTTTTTCTTTTTCCCCTTCCTTCATCCTTGCATAGGGGCCATGCTTCTTCCTCCCTCCCCCCCCACCCCCCCTTTTTTGGAAACATCGACTCGAGATGCACCGACTACAGGGGGGAATAAGAGCCCTTGCCTGTAGTAGGGTCGCCCTGGGTGGATGTGCAGGGGCCATGCTAATCTTCTCGCATCGTTCCAATTTTTTTTTAAGCGTTGCACTTGTAATGCAATGGTCATCGCCGACTCATCGGTTCAGCTCCGATAGTAGGCTATCAAAGGAAAACGCTCTTTCGAGCGCGGCTCGCCAGCAGAGCAGAGTGGGCCTAAGTAGATTTGAACTACTGACTTTACACTTAACTTTCAACAGATGCATTTTCTTTTTCCAATGCATTGGAAAGTCGAAACTCCAGTTGTCAATCACACTGTACCATAGTGACTTTCTTTCTTCTTCTTTTTTTTTTTTTTTTTTTTGGGCTCACAGTGATTACTCGATGGCTCCCTCCCGCCAACTTTTCAAGACATGTATAAGCCTTGGGCACTGCGCCTATAGTAATAAACTTCCGTTTCTTGGGAATGCAATCAGACTCGTTCTCAAACACACTTTTCATGCATGTAAACAGCAACGCAGTATACTGGCGACATGCGCCCACTCAAAACTCAGAGATATGGCTTTCAGATACGAGTTCACTCTCAATTGGCTATGGCGACTTCAGCACCCAAACATCTCACTGTTCACATACACTGGATCACCCTGGATATCCCACACGCATCACTCTAACACTCTAGCACACACACACACTCACATCTAACTACAGCTATGGCAGCTATGGCTGCCTCTAACCTATCGCTATGCTAACTCCTCCTCTCYTGCCCACTGCGTCCTCCGGGCTCATCTGCAGACCTCCTTGCACAAGTCGCTGTGGCAGCGCTTCCGCATGGCTCACGCAGGAATGAATGAATGGCTGGGCGCTGCCTCTTGATTTATACTTCAGAAA